CTACTGTTGTTTCCCTGTAAATTATTCTTTATTTCAATTAGTGTATTCTTTGGTTCTGACTAGTTCTGTTTTATGCTGTTGAGGTCGTCACTAAGTTTTTTGAGCATCCCTAACACCAGCATTTTGAACTCTGCATCTGACAGATTGCTTATTCTGTTTCATTTAGCTCTTTTTCTGGAGTTTTGATCTGTTCTTTCATTTGGGCCATGTTTTGTTGTCTCCCTGTATGAGAGATCTCTCCTGGGCACTCCTACTCTGTGGGCTGTGTATACACTTCTGTTGTAGTTGAGCCTTGATTGCTATTGGCATGTCCAAGGCCACCCTCCACCTGTGTTCCATCCAGGGTCACACAGCACAAGCTACCAAGTGAACTGCAGATGGCTGCTACTTGTCCTGGGCTCAGAGGTGCCCAGGAGAGGCCAAGCTGTGAACCAAGGCTGATGGTTGCTAGTGCCTGGCCTGGGGCAACTTAGTGAGAGGTACAGGGCTCACTGAAGATAGATGCTGCTTGTTTGAGAGAATTTAGGAAAATCTGAAGCATTCACCAAGGTAAGACATCCACATGAAAAAGCCACTACAAACACGTTAGGTAGGCTCAGAAGTTGGCTGGAGCAGGGCCTCATGGAATAAGAAGGGTAGGGCAAACAGTGTGAGCCAGGTTTATGGCACCTGGGATGTGGAGCCTGCCTGCCAGCTCTGTGTCTCTGTTGGGGGAGGGCTCAGGAAATGAACAGTGGCCTTTGCCAGCACTTCTGTTTGGGAGAAGGCTGCCTCCCTGGCTCTCACCCTGGTGCCACACAATTCAGTTCTGCCTCATATGTCTCCGATGCCTTTCAATGTGGTGCCTCTACGTTGGATCTCACAGGGAGTTAGTCTGAGTATATCTGTGTGTGGGCCCTTTAAGAGGACCTGCCAGGGATCTGACAGTTTCTGTCTTCCACAGCCTTAGTGCCCACTGGGGATAACACAGATTTATTATTTACAGCTCTCTAGATGGACTGGACATTTTTAAGGTCTTTCATACACACTGCCAAAACATCTCGTGGGACCAGTTTTCACTGTTGCCAGTTAAAGAACCTCCACCTGCTGCTAAGCTCAGGGTTCATGTTTTATAATATTTGGTCAGTTTTGAAGTTTTTGAAATTGTTGAGGTAAAAAAAAGCACTCATTTTGCTAGTAATTCTATCTCCAGGAATTTTTTTTGCAAATATACTCACAAAAGTTTAGAAAAATATGTGCATAGATGGTTATCTCAGGGTTGTTTTCAAAAACAGTAGCTGGAAACACTTTAAATGTACAGAGATAGAGGCTGGCTGAGTAAATTTCGGTATAATCGCCCTGTGGGTGCTTTGCATTTGTGTGTCTCCCAGACTCACCAGTAAGTAACAGGGGGAAAGGGCAGGAGAACATGTACAGTGTTCTCTTCCTTATTAAAAATATACATGCGATCCTTGCTTTTACTGAGGTGAAATTGCATTTCCATACCCTATGTAAGTTTGTTTTCCCATTCACTGATGGAAAATGCATTTGAACAGGAATGGTTTGCAAGTGCCCCTACTTTTAGAAACCATCGGGCAGTGCCCATGCAGACAGAGACTGCAAAGGAAACCATGAAAGGAGGTCTGGCCGGGATAGGCCAATGCAGTAAGGAGAGGGCACAGGCTTGGGGGAAGGAGACTGAACCCTCGTGCAACCTCAGAGCCACGGTGGACCTAAGAGCAAGAACAGGGCACGGCGTGCAGAGGAGATTGCAGCCCCTACATGTGCAGGGACATACATGACTGTGGGAGATGGTGGAGCTCTCAGAGGCAGGGTGACGCCCCTGTGTGTGCATTGCGAGTCCCCCCACCCTGTAGGCCGAGCTGTCCTGCCAGTGTGAAGTAGGACGATGCACTGGTGGGCCCATGAAGTTTAACATCAGTGAACAGACCACTCTCATCTTTGAACCAATGAGCAGGAACTGGACAGTTGTTGGTCCTGGAGCCAGAGAGGTCAAGGAGGACTGGGAGAAGAATGGACAGGTGGAGCATTTCAGGAAAATTTTAATGGGAGTTTGCAATCGCTGGCTTGGGGACTTCTTAGACCACTGGGAGAATGTGCTGGAGCACCCAGGTGAGTGTGCAGTGTGCGGAGAATGTGGTAGCTCTCATTAAGGGTCTAACGCCTTCCTTGTGTCTGTGCCTGTGTGTGTGTGTGCGTGTGTGTGTGTGTGTCTATAATGGAAAATTTGACAGATGGATGGACCGGTTGATTCCTTGGTGGACTTCCTGTCTGGAGAGCTAGGGTCTACCATGGGCTTTCCCACCAGCTTCTGGAATCCCATCCCACCTCCCTGAGCACAGGAGTTCCCACCTGCACTGGGCAGTGATTCAGTCATCAGGCACTACTAGATGGTCCTCAGATCTCTCTGCATTATAATGCTTCCAGGCCTTCTCTTCTTCCCGTGTTCTAGTTGTCCTATAACCAGGTCAAAGGTCACCTCTTATGAAGCCTCCACCTCTTTCCTCAGACAGAATTAAGCACCCCCAATTCTGTCATCCTCAAAAAGGTCTATGCATAATAAACTTGTCAAACTGTATTATAAACAGATAGACATTTACTGTCTCATGCAGTAGAATGTGAGACCCCTGCGGACAGAGCACAACCCCTCTCCATCTTTATACCCCTGGACCTAACAGGGTGGCTGTCACATGATGAGTCAGTAAATGTGGGGGTGTCATGGGAAAACAGGTGCTGTTAGTTGTCTTATATTTGATAGGATGTTTGCTTTTTTTGTTTTAGTGCCACCATTACGGTCCTCAGCATTCCCTCCAACTACACAGAAAAATACTTCATCGATTATCGTTGGCATCTTCGGCTCCATTCTTTTTGGAGTCATCCTCTCCCTGGGTGTTTGGATGTGGAAATCAGGCAGGATGAAAGGTAAGCTGCAGGCTGGCCTCTGGCTCTTGGGCAGGACATAGTCTGGGAAGGGCTTGGGAGGGGTGAGCCACGGTCTCCCCAAAGCCTTCTCCCTGATCCATCTCTACACAGAAATGATGCCCTTTGTTAGTGCTGAGCCCCCACACCCCACAGTAGCCATTTGAAATCATGTACAGGAAAGTGTTTGACACACTTTGAAGTCACACACAATTGTTGGTTAGCATTATCTCATATTAGCACACATGTTTATTTTTAATATTCATAATTATTTTAATAACTAGCATTTAAAAGGTTTGATGATACCTCCAGGGACCATTTTTATAAGCTGTGAAAGTTTCTCCTCATAACAAGCCTACTGAAGCTCTCTGAGGCCTAAAGCAGAAAGAAATCTTTACCCGGCTCCAAGGACATCTTACAGCGACCACAGTCGTGTGGGGTGGATACCTCGCAGGTGGAAGAGCCTGCGGCTCCTGGTGGTTCACTCCAGACAGAGCCCGGGCTAAGAGGCCACTTTTTTCTGCTTCAAATTCACATGGAGATGGACCCCAGAAAGCTTTAAAATTTCTCCTTTCCACGTGATGACAAAAAATATTGAGCTAATATTTTCCCTTTTTTTTAATTTTTACCTTCTAGTTATACCTCCTACTCTGTTCCGGGTCTGAAAGCTATAGTTTCCTAAATGTCAGTCCTGAAAACAAAACATTATAGTAGAGACTTCATTTTTCTATCCAGTTATTTATTTTTGCCCCCTAAAAATATAGACATTTAACAATGTAAAATTCATAATGTTTAAGCATGCAATCAAAAATATTCAGACATGGGAAAAAGCAACAAACTGTGATGCAAAGCAGGAGTAAAATGAGTCAACAGACTCTGACTCAGAAACAAACAAGATGCAGGAGGTGCTCACAGGCAGCGAGAACTCCCCAGCACAGCCTCCCTGGGGTTGGACATTTTCATGTGCCTTATTACTGTGTGGTAAAACACGCCTCCTTTTGATCGCACATGATCTAATTAAAGGCCCTTCCACAGGCTGTAAAGATAACTCATCAGGTCCTCATATTTGGCCGTGTTCATATTTTGAGTTGAGTTTGTAGAAACCCAAGTAAATATGACTGCTGAGTTTTATATTTTTCAACAGCACCGTGTTGCCCTAGTACAACGTCTCAGGGACCTAGTGTGGAAACCATGGGGGACGTTGGAGGTGAAGAACTGAATATGGTGTCTGGTGGTTCCCCAGCTGAGCTAGTCGACGTGTCTGGAGCAGACCCTGAAGGCACAAGGTTGTGTGGAGAGCCCCTGCTCCCCAAGACCTCATGCCCCTTTGAATTGATACCCTGAGCAGGTCTGGCTGGTTAATGAAACAAAAAAGGTTGGCTTTATCGACTGTGCCAGGCAGTGGCTGACTAGATACGACAGCATAATATTGTGAAGGCATTAAGATTTCCAGAACTTTCTGTTATCCTGTCTCCTTTCTGCATTGATACAATCTTTATTTCCTCCCAAACCTTGTTTCCTCATTTTAGATCCTAGAACACTGATACTGCAAAATGTCTTGAGTGACCCCTTTGTGCCACCTGTTGTTTTGCATAGGAAGTTGTAGTGAGAGTCAGCATGCATTCTGGTTAGTGGAATAAATGAAAACCCACGGAGGTCTTACTGAGGGTGCTCCAGGCACCCGCCAGTGTCTGGGACTTGCTGCCTGACACTCGTTCTGCTCACTTCTGTGCTTAAGTTCCCCACACTGTATGTGACCAGCGTGTGACTCTACTGCTTTATTGGACGGGTCTCCTCTAATAAGGCCGCCAGTGTGGAAAGAGACAAACGTGTGTGACCGTCTTTCCGGACGCTCCCTAGCTCAGGACAACAGCACTCGGCTTAGCACTCCCTGAAGCTCACTTGCCAGCATCACCTGCCTTCGCTGTGCTGGAGACTAGGAGTGGGCGGGGTTATGGCGAGCAAGGGAAGGGGCGGAGCTGTGGGCGGGGAATGAGTCCCCAGCGCGCGCGGTGAGGGGGAATGGGGGGGGGACGTGACGTAACGTGACGTGATGGAGGGAGTGGGCGGGGCTGGACACAGCCGCTGTTCACTCTCCTGGTGCTGATCCGCGCACAGGCCTCTCGTGGCCAAGGAGCGCACCGGGGTCCCGGAAGAGAGGCGCGGGGAGCGGGGAAACCTCCGGAAAAGACGAGGAGCGCTGCCACGTCGCGCCCGCTATGACTCCTGTGGTTGACGTTCCCGCCAGCGACCGCGCGCCCGCGGCCTTGGGGGCGCAGCCGGGCTCCCGGGAGGCCGCGCTTTGAGTCTCCAGGGCCTCCTCCAGCCGCTGCCGTCCCAGAGAAACACTGGGCCCGCGGTTGCCTGCCGGCCTCACGCTCTACGGCCCACCTCGGCTGACGTCCTCTGCCGCCGGCCGCCATGGCCTTCGACGCCCCAGAGAGCGCGGGCTCTGAGCTCAGGCAGCCGCCGCGGCACCCCGCGCTGCGCGGGCTGCTGCTGCTCTGCCTGTGGCTGCCGAGTGGTAGCACGGCCGGGCCGCCCCCAGCGCCGCTCTCCGAGCTGCACGCGCAGCTCTCCGGGGTGCAGCAGCTCCTGGAGGACTTCCGCCGGCAGCTGCAGCAGGAGCGGCCGCAGGAGGAGCTAGAGCTGGAGCTGCGCGCTGCTGGCCGCCCACCGCAGAGCTGTCCCGGGCCGGGCGGCGGCAGCTACAGCGTCATGTCGGACGCCATCATCCGCATCAAGGACTCCGTCGCGGCGGGCGCCAGCTTTCTGAGGGCGCCCTCGGCAGTGCGGGACTGGCAGCAGTGCTTGGCGGCTTGCTGCTCTGAGCCGCGCTGCTCCGTGGCGGTGGTGGAGCTGCCCCGTCGGCCCGGGTCCCCGGCCCCCGCGCTCGGATGTTACCTCTTCAACTGCACCGCGAGGGGCCGCAGCGTCTGCAGGTTCGCTCTGCACCGGGGCTACAGTAGCTACAGCCTCAGCCGCGCCCTGGAAGGGCAGCAAGACCTGGAAGCTGGCGTCCCGGCCACCGCCCAGGCCTCGCCTCGACTGGGTAAGCAGGCCACTTGGGCCCTGTTGCCCTTGCACCAGTTGGGTGGCTGCCTCTGGAGATTCCCCTGGCCATGACCACTGGGCCCTCCACAGCCAAGTCAGAAATGAAACATCCTTGTTCCCAATGATCTTAGTTGCGGGCCTCCAGAGGAGTGGCTTTGATTTCTCAGTCTTAGGGATGGTTTCTGAAAAACCTCTGTAGGTTGGGCAGAAGCAGGCACGCTGGGCTGATTTTGCAGTTTTTCTACGCTTGGTGATTGAGGCTGTTCTGAGAGGATTCACGGAAATTCACTTTAAAGGAGAAAATCCCAGGGAGAGAAAATCATACAGCCCCCCTCCCCAAAATAAACCCCTTTATTTCAATCTCGGGTTTTAATAGGGTATGGTTAGGTCAAGTAACTGCAAAAGCAAAATCTAATTACGTCCCTGATTACTCATAACACACTGTTACTGAGTTTGGCTCTCCGGACTCACGGTTCCACCTGTAGTTGCTCTCACCAGATAAAAACGGGGAAGAGCTCCTGTCCGGTGTTTCTGAAGTGGGTCCGTCTGATTTCCATGGACTAGCGTTCCCCTTCATAGAGTGAAAAGAAGGGACTTGATTTTAGTTGAAAATAAAAAGTTTAGGGCACATCCCCTTTTTTAAAAGAGCTAAAAATCATGCTTTTCAAGTGATAGCTTTACTTTCTGCAGATGTTCAGAAGGGGAGAATCAAAATATAAAAAGAGGCACAGGATGTGGTAGCTGGAGATTAAGGTCACAGAGGGACTAGAGCTTTGATTGAGGTCAGCTCAGTGTTTGATCCCATGCTCTCTGTTTGATTCAAGATGAGGTGAGCAGACTCAGTAGGTCTGGAAATCTGGAGTCTCCCTGACCTGCAGGGCCAATGAGAAGGGTCCGGAATCTGTGTGCACAATGCCCAACCTACCTCCACAGAGGGGGAGGCTCAGAACCCTTGTCACGGGGGCAGACGTGGCAGGTCTCATCCTAGAAGCAGGCACTGGGAAGGACCCCCAATTTGCCCCTGAAGTGGGGGCAGGAGGCACTTTTACCTGGACCCCCACCAACATCCCTGAACCAGGCCCATGGACGGGGCACATGGATCCTTCCTCTCTGTGCAAAGGCAGACTCAAAAGGCCCAACAGCAGAAAACCAGAATCCCTTTTCCTTATTCTCTAGGCAGGTTTGTACGAAACCGACATTATCATCAGCTCATGAGGAGAAAGACTAGAACAGTACTCACTATAGATGATGATAATCACATTGAGGTTATGGACCATTTTTTTCTAACGTGTTGCAGTTTTTAAAAACGCACTTTAAAAAATGATGGGATTTCACCTGTACTACCCAGGCCTCTCTTTCAGTCTGGCTCCACTGCCGTGAGTTGACTTCGGGAGGCCCTGCTAAGGTCTCAGCCTCCGCTGTGTCCCCTGTGCTCACACAGCCCAGATCCAGACGGCAGACCCCTCCTGGTCAGGAAGGCTGTGTCTACTACAGCAGTGCGCTGTGAGTCAGATTAGTCAGCGGTATCATTGTTCTCTGTGTAAAATGCCAGTTGATCTGCCCCACCAAAATTGCTGTGTCTTTTCTCTGTAGATCTTACCAAGTATGTTTCATTTAGAAAAGAAATCGGTAATATTACCATAGTACTTAACACTGGTTTATTACATTTTTATGATGCAAATTCAAAATTATCTTGTGCTTCAAAGGCAAGTCAAATATTTTTAAGTGTAGCATACTCCTTTCCTTTTCTTATCATCATTGTTTAAAAAATTTTAAGGCCTGTTACTGAGTAGATAAGCTCTGGCTTATTTTAAAATACATTGTGCAACGTAATTTGTCTGGACTTGAACTGAGAAGGAAATGTCTCTCTGTTGTTTCAAATATAACAGTGATCAATTTACAGGAGATGAGGGTTTCACTGTGCTCTTAAATCCTATCTTAAAGCTCACCTAAAGAAAAGTAAATCATTAAAAAATGATTTTTTCTTCCAACAAGGCAAGATTAATTAATTTTAAAATATGTGGGCTATTTCAACACTTACCTGCTTCCCCTATCTGGAATCTTTGGAGTTAAATCTTTGAGGTTTTACGTGTGTGTGGTGTGTGTGTGTGTGTGTGTGTGTAGACATATATACATTATTACATCCATTGGTATTTATAGCATATAGTTAGTTATATTTTAGCTTCTGTACTTACAAATAGTATTTTAAGATACATTTCAATGCAAATAGCCAGTAGTCCTTATATATTACTCCAGAATTATAGGATGCACTCCAAAATTAAAAAGTGGTTAACCATTGTGTGGAAAGCCAGAACCAAAGGAGAGTTCTCTGTTAATCTCTATAAAAGGGCCCATTAGTAACGCAGTTGTTACATCTCTCTTTACCTGGGAGAAGCAGAATAAAGACATCAGGCTTGGATCTTTGCTCAGAGGTAGAAAAAGTCAGAACAAGTTTCTTCTTAAGCAGTGGCTTATTGAAATCTGAGTTACAAGTCCTCATTGTTTTAAAGGACTCTAAAAACGGGACTCATTATGTTCTCAGTAGACATTCAGGTGCACTTGTTCTTTGTAACATGCTCATTAAAAAAGGCATCTCCCTTTGAGGCTGGCAGCAGCCTTCTCATTCAGACAAGTCGCAGCTCCAAGAGCTGCATCCCCCTCACATACAGGCCCTGTTTCTGGGCCTTGAGGGAATCACTAGTTGAGAAGATAGGGCTGGATGGGAAGGTCTCCAGACATCCAGAAGGGAGTGGTGACTTTTAGATTAGCATTCCAGACGCATCGTTCTAGCTGCAACCTGTCCAGAACAACTACCTGTTGTTGCCTCTTGGGAAGCTGCTAGGATTGCCCCTAACCTCACTTGTCAGGCACTGGGACATCTGGGACCCACAGAAGTTTGCTTAGGAGACAGCTTTGGCGGCAGAGGAAGAAAGGCAGTGCCTTACTCACAACATCATTCAGACTGAGTCAAGGAGGAACTAGTCCAGGCCAGCATTTGGACCAGAGCTTTGGCACTGGAGGGTGGAAGAAATAGTAGATACCAAAAAGGGTGTGTCCCATCCTGTAGAGTTTGTGTTTCAAGTGATACTACTGAATCTCTAAAATACATCTGCATTTGTGTATACTTACTAATAAGAACCCTAAATCAATTAAAATAGTCACAACTCTGCTCTTAGAAATACAGCTTCTCCCATCAGTCATCTGTAAGTTAATTATTAATATTTAAGTGAACATGGCCCTGCCTGGTGTGGCTCAGTGGATTGAGCACCGCCCTGGGAACTGAAAGGTTGCTGGTTCAATTCCCAGTCAGAGCACATGCCTGGGTTGTGGGCCAGGTCCGCACTTGGGGTGTGTGAGGGGCAACGAATCCATGTTTCTCTCGTTCATTGATGTTTCTTTCTTTCTTCCTCCCTTCCCCTCTCTCTGAAAATAAATAAAATCTTTAAAAAAACATTTAAGTGAATATAAGTAGCCTTAAACTATTTAGTTGTATTCTAGGTCACAGGTAAATGTTATACATACTTGTTTTGTTTTTGTGGGACAACTCAAAACTCAGTGTGCTGGCTTCTGTTATAAAAATTAGTTTATTAGAAACTGTGAACTTCTGCTTTCCTAGCTGAAAAACTAGACTCCAGAAAAGTTCACGTGGGCTTTATTTTGCGTAGGTCCAAGAACTTGTTTTAAATTCCCAGTGTGATTTATTTCCCATCCATTGAACACTTTATATCACACCTGTTTTAAAAACTTGAAGACAAGGAAAATCTGTATCAGAGGTGGACTTAATTTTGTTTAAGGTTTGTTTCAAGAATTTTTGTTATAAATTCATTTAACAGAACTTGGAACATAAGTGGTTTAAAAAGTAAGTGAAAATTTCCCTCTGGAGAGTGAAACTCCTTCAGATGGACGCATTGGAGGGCCTGGTTCCCTGTCGTGCACCCACAAGCCTGTCCTTGCTCTTGCTCATACCTGACACCCCACACTTCTCCTGCGTGTATTACAGCTCAATTCCGTATTCATACTGTTGTTTATTATGTAAAGAAAATACAGTGAAAATCAATAGGAAAATAACGTTCAGTTGCTAGATATTTTCTCAGCAGTTCTTTGCTGGACCACCTCTATCCTAGCAAACAAGATACCTCTCCATTAGGAAAAGTAGGGAATCATCTCTCCTGTGAATTACTTTCTTTCACAGAAAAGGATGAGCCTCCCCTCAGCAAGGCCGGGCGGGACGTGGTTCTGCGTCTGCCCGCAGACGAGGTGACTTTGGATGGCCGTGAGAGCACAGATGACCATGCCATCGTCCGGTATGAGTGGGCACTGCTGCAGGGTGACCCCTCGGTGGACATGAAGGTAATTATTGTCCTTCTTCATTGTCATGAAAGCTGACGTTTGCAGTGAAGTGGTCTTTGGTAGCATCTTTCCACTTAGGTTTCCAAAAGGCCTGTCAGCCAGAAGAGAAGGTCTAAAATGGAGAGAGTATAAAAGTGATTGTCCACAAATGGTTTAGTTTATGAATTTACTTTTCTACTCATTAAACAGTGATCCTTGTCATTTGTTTTGAAGCTTACTTTGTTCTTCCTGCTTTTTTTGTTGATTTCTCCAGAATACACAAAAGCTTTGGGGAAAAAGACTCATACTTTATTTTAGTAACTCAGATTACTGTTTAAATTTTTGATTTCTTGTTTTCTTTGTTTAAGATCCAAGTAGAAAATTTGAAAATACAAAGCAGCATGAAGAGGAAAATCACATTCTAATGAACTCATTCTTTACACGATCCAGAAAGCAGTCATCTTACCTAGCAGTCAGGCCTGCTTGAGATCACTGAGTGACTAAGTGAGCGTGTTCCACTCTGATCTTCATCAGGCTCCTCTGGGCCAGGCTGCAGTTGCTGCGGGTAGGAATGAGCCCCTATTGGCAGATTCAGAGACACCCGGAGTCTTGACTCCCAAGGCTTGTTGTTAATCTCATCAGGACAGCTTCTGGTTAGCAGTATTTCCTGGCTTGGGCAGATAAACTCCATCCAAACCACTATGGTTAAAGGAAGTAGAAAAAATCTGTGTTGGTTTGCCAGGGCTGCCCCAACAAAGAACCACAGACTCTATGGCTTAAACAGATACTGTTTATCTTCTCACAGTTCCAGAGGGGAGAAATCCACAGGTTCTAGTGGGATTGGCTTCTGTTAAAGCCTCTCTTCTTGGCTTGTCGTTGGCTGCCTTTTCCTTCCTGCGTCTTCACATGATCTTCCCTCTGTGGGGAAACATTGATTTATATTCTCTCAAAACAAAAACAAAAACAATCACCTAGTCCCTCAAGACTGATTTCCGTGCACTGATTTACTCGATGGTTATGTAGTCTTAGAATTGGGCCGGGCCCCTGTTCAGCCTGGTACCCAGCCTCCCACCCATATAAGAGCCCCTCCTACACATCCCTTCAGGGCTCTCCCACTCTCTGCCCAGATACTTCCAGAGATGGACACTCACCACCTCACATCGTGTCCTATGACGCCTTCAATCAGCTGTAGTCATTAGGCAAACAAGATGTATTTCCCTGTTACTTCTGTGCATTGTAGCAGAATCTTCTCTTTGGAAAAGTTTTGAATGCATCTTTCTTTTTTAAAAAATTGTTATTGATTGATTTTTTTAAAGGGGGAGGGAAGGAGGAGAGAGAGAGAAAGAGACAGATAGAGGAAAACAAACATTGATTTGTTGTTCAACTTATTCATGCATTCATTGGCTGATTTTTGTATGTGCCCTGACCTGGGATCAAACCCACGACCTTGGCATATCGGGCTGATGCTCCACCCAGCTGAGCTACCTGGCTGGGCACATCTTTCTTTATTCTGGGTGACAGTTGCTTAAGTCTTTGAAAAAATTAATGTCACCACTTGGAATGCTCTCTCGGAACGGAACACCCCCACTCCTTTCAGATGTCTTCACATGAACTGAGGGCCAGAGCGTCCACCCTCCAGCCTCTGCTGGATTTTCTCAGAGTCATCCATCTGATACCACTAAAGTCTGATACCACTAAAATCTGACACCACTCATTGAACCCCATATGTCACCTGAAGATGTGTGTGTCTTCCTGACACAGATGCCACCTCCTGTGATCCAGATGCCTCCACTTCTACTAGGGAGACTTAATTTACGTAAACTGCTTTAGTGGCTGCGTCACACAGCAGGTCTGCGTGGCGTCGCCCATTCGCAGGATTACCTGAAACCTGCTTCGTCTTTTACAGACACCGCTGCCCTGATGGTGTCTCCACCTCGTTTGTGTCGCTGAGTTGTTGAACCTGAGGGCAGGACCGTATGTTTATCCTTTTCACATACCAACTCCTGGGTTTTCATCTGCCGTAGAAATTATTTTGAACTTAGAGGGTCAGCCATCAGACTTACTTATCACCCTTCTGTGCACTGTGTCAGCTGTGAAACTGTTCTATCCTCACGGAAACCCTTGAGAACCGAGGTTGATCAGGAAAGGTTCATGGACATGGCGGTCGCACCACCGGAGCGCTCCCTGGACAGGGACGCTGCCTACTCGTGGGCGCTTCTGGGGTACGTCTGTCCGAGCAGTCACAGGCCGCCTCTGCTACCATCTGGCTTTTCATTGCACTACTAAAAGCTCTGTCCTGTAAACGAAGAATGGCACCTATGAGTGTTAATGGTCCAGTATGGTAGTTATTGAGGACATTTATAAAAGAGCAACAAGATTAGACATTTCTTATAGGCCTTTCGGGCTGACTGCCAGGCTGTCAGGAGGGAAATCTGGACCGATTTCCCAGCCAAGTGCAGAACAGCGATGGCAGGTAGACCTGGAGCCACAAAACCACCACCCAAGTGACAGCGTCTGTGGTAGGAGAGACCCTGCAGCCGAACTGTGACTGTCTCACAACGGAGTTATACCCACAAGCACCCGCAAAGTAAACTCTCATCCTGCTGTGACTTCGTCATAATAAAGCGTCACTGACTGAGGGGCCGCGCGGTGGCAGGCGGTTCAAATACACCCATGATCCTCATAGCGGCCCCACTAGGGGGTGCCTTCCCATTCTGTAGATGAAATGGCCCTAAAAAGCTGTGAACGACTGAAATGGCAAGAGATTACTGAATGTCTGTCAGCAGAATGCTGGCAGTTGTGGGGCAGATTTTTCAGGATGTGCATTTATTAATTCTATAACACAGTTAGTAATGCAAGTGATTCTTGCCCATAGAAATGCAAATAATTGTTCCATATAGAAATGTAGTGTTTCTGACATGTAGAAAAGTGCGTTTCAAAGAAGACATTTCAGCACTTGTAGGTATTAATCTATTAATACACTCATTTCCTCACCTAATAGGTACTAATAGCAAACTTGGTTCAGTTTTTGCATGTACTAGCAACTTTGTACTAGCCATCATTCCTGACTGCTTATATCCTTTCTGATTCTCCTGTGAATTAGCAGAACACCTTTTTGGCTCTCTTCAATTAATGAGTTAAAATCATTGATGCGTGTTCATGCATGTGTGTGAGATCATGGTTTTTACATTTTGAGAATCTTCCTGAACAGTAATTTTCAGCCTTCAAGGGCCACCCCTCTGGTCCCTGCTACCTGGGCAGCCAGAGTTCACACTCCACGATTCCCGCCAGGAGAGCTGGACTCTCCAGCCAGGTCACTGTTTTCTGAGAAGGGGCTCCAGCTGACTGCAGTGTGAATGCACCCCCACCCCCCAAGCTGGGGAATGGGGCCAGCTGGGAAGGGGCTTGGGGCAGGGAGGAAGGGCAGTGGCAGCCCAGCATAGTGCGGAGGTTAAGTGGAAGCCCGTGTTGGATGAACACCCCTCTTCTGAAGCCCTTAGATGATCCCTGAGTCTCGGGGGCTCTCGCTGTTCCCTTCCCCCTGAGCACCTGCGGCAGCCCCCCGAAGTCCTCCTCTCTCGTCCCCCATGGTCCCCATCTGCACAGACTCCTCAGCCCTCCTCTCGTCTCCTGGGGACAATAGTCAGCCTCCCTTTGCCTTGCGACAGTTTGGGGCCAGGTTGTAGGACCGATCTTGTCACGTCCAAATGACCCACCCAGGCACTCGGAAACCAACAAAACCCAGTGAGGGCCTCGCCCTAAGAGGAATTATGCTGCTGCCTTAGTGATAACAAGATTGACAGCTAACTGTTTTAGCACCTAGTACGTGACCAGCACTGTGCTCAGCCCCTCACAGACGGACAGCTTGTGTTCCTGGCCTGGTTTCTCCATTTAGGAAGAAAGAAGAGGAGAGAGGATTCGTCAGAACCAGGGGGCTGATGGCTAGATTTTAAAGTTACTTATTTCCTGCTCTAGAAAAAGATATTCTACCTCCCCTTAACCGAATGTTAATCTAGAACACATTTCTTACATGCAAGAACAAATTTTTTCTGGTGGCTCATTAGATGACACTGAGTTTCATGATTATTCAACATAATACATTTACATCTGAAGTCAGAATGTAAAATACTACATTTGGGAACACGACACAGAGTACAAGGATGTTCAGGGAGATTTGGGCTTCATTTGTTTGTGGATTGATTTTCACTCATCAGATGTGGAAAACTTTCTAACCAAATGATTTTTGAATACCACATGTAGTAGGAGCTTACCGAAATGTGGGTGTTGTTCACACCAATAAGTTCATTATTAAATTCAAGCCAATTGCCCACTGGCTTGACTGCCCTACATAATTAATTTTTTTAAGTAAACAGGCAGAATACCATCTAAATAGGGACATGTTTGAGAGTGAAAGGGTGTGGTCTCAGTAATGACACCAGGCGCACAGAGACAAACTGGGACTTCCCTGAGCAGACAGAAAACCTGATGAAATCCAAGTTTCGTGAGACGGTCCGGTCCGAGGTTTCCCGGTCAGCCTCTCTTTCAGACTGCCCTCAACAGGTCAAAGGAGTATTTTAAAACTGACCCAGAGAGAAAGGTTTTGGGAAGCAAACTTAAATAGACACAAGAATATTGACTTCTTCCCTGCGTGGTTTGGCTCAGTGGATTGAGTGCCGGCCTGGGAACCGAAGGGTCCCTGGTTCAATTCCCAGTCAAGGTTGTGGGCCAGGTCCCCTGTGAGGGACATGCAAGAAGCAACTGATTGATGTATCTCTTGCACATCAATGTTTCCTTCTCTTTTTCTCCGTCCCTTCCCCTCGCTCTAAAAATAAATAAATGAAATCTTTAAAAAAAGAAGAACTTAGGTCCTGCCAGTGATAAGAAGATGAAAGAAGTAAGATTCTTGTTCCAGTCACCCCAGTCAGAGAGGCCAGGAGCGCCCCGGAGGTGCTTTCTTTCACACTGAGCTCGGGGCGTGGAGTCTGCACACACCGTGCCCAGGAGGCCGGCTGTTTCCTAGATTTCTGTGTTTGTTTTTGCACGCTGCTAAGAGCTAAGTGGCCTCTCCCCTCCGATTTTCTGCACTGTTTCTTCGTGCTTCTGAGTCTCCTTCCTATTTAAGCAGCTCTGCTTATATCTGAAAGCATTTTACACTTTTGGCATTAAAAAATAATTCTTCTCTAATTGGGTTGGGTTAGAGGCATGAAAGGGAAATGAGGGCAGAGTTGGAGAAAACTGTAGACACATTCTGAAACAGTAAAGCAGCAGTGACATTTGGTTGGGTTCCAGAAGGGAAGAATAAGTCTGTTCTTCCCTCTGTTCTTTACTTCTAGAGGCTTCTAATCCTGGCCAACTTTAGAAGCGGGCCACTATGAACATGGTATGTTTTAAGAGGATTTGACAGAAAAGAGAAAGGCTTTAGTCCAAAACTATTTCTCTTACTGATTCCTGAAATCTCAATATATGCAATTTAATTCTGCCTTAATTACTGCCTTCTCTGGTCCTATTCTTTTGAAAATGATCCTCTTCTGGGCAGGTTTATATGAGAAATACTCAACTCTTTTTATTAACCATTAGAAGCTTTATTCTTTTTCTTAGAATAATGTATGATCATTTTCTACATTGGATTAATTTGAAGATACCCATTCCATAATTTATAGTAAAATTAAAATTATGCAAAAAATACAAATTAAGAAAAAGAAATAATATAAATGCTGCTGATGGTTGTAAAAAAATATCTAAATAAAGGACCAAAAAAATAAATACAGTGGCTACTGATGGTTGTCTTAGGGTGCTTAATTATAATTGGTTTTTCTTTACTGTCTTTTTCAAAAAATCAGCAATATAACTTCATTTATTTTTACTGAAAAACAAATGGGTATTAAAATGATCTTTTCTTTCTGATCAGCAAATCTGTGAGTAGACGCCTCGACACTGACCAGAGAAATTCCCACTTCTTGAGGAAACTCACTTAACACCTTACCCCAGAATTGAGAAAGACGGCCCGTCAGAGGTCTGTTCTTTGTAAAGATGCTCTAACTGCATTCATTGGACCATGTGTAACAGGAAAGGTCAGGCCGCTGGACTCATTTTGCTTCTCTTTGTGGAACTCTACATCCTATGTGTGACGACAAGCAGACGGAGGGAACCCTGAACTGAAGAGCAGAGTCTAAACGTGTGTTTGCCTGCAGTGTTATATCTAGACGGTTAGAGCGCCAGTTCATTTCCTGGCCTCAGGGGACCTGCTCATTGTCTTCTTCACAATGCCTCCGGCAAGATGTCATGGGATCACAATAAGGATTATTACGTCAATCAAACCACTTGTAGAGATCTCATCCAGTTTTCCAAGTTAGATTAGTCCAGACACAAGGCAGAAAGCTAGTTGCATTTTGTACCACGCTACCTCCCCACTCGTTTGTACCTGACTTACACCCAATTGCCTTATAGACTTTAGGAGCAACTGTTGGGTGGCAAGAATAGTTAGGTATTATTTTGTACCTAAGTGTATATAATGGTAAGTGTGTTACAATAATGGTAACTAATAATATGTGTAGGTGTGTGTGTAACTTAGTGTATATAAATAAACCCAACTGTGGTATCTGATACTAGATCACCTTCTTGGAAGGCGGAGTTGAGTCAGAACAGCAGGCTGGGTGTTCTGTGGAGGTAGTGGTTTAGCAGAGGCCAAACATCAAAGGCTCCAGCAGGTCTTGGGCAGAGATTAGAAACTCCTTGTTTTACTAAGGTTACAAATTGGGTATGGTGCATAGACCTGTGTGTATAAATATGCATATACTTATCCTCACTCCTGACACTTCAGAACTGTTTAGAGATACTTTAAATCCTTTTCATTTTTCCTGGTAGATTGGTGGAATGTGAAAGAAGAGAGGTTAAATATGACTCTAGGTTCCAAACCACAGCTCTTGTCTTGTTCTAAACCTTATTCGTCTGACTCTCTGATCATCTCTGCTTGTTCTCAGACCGCCTGCCCCCTTCAACTCGGTGCACCCTTGTCTCTGAGCATCAGTCACCCACTCCACCCTCTTCTAAAGTGATCTCCTTCTTTCCAGCTGTCTCACGGCTGGCCTTTCAGGTAGCAGTGAGCACTCACAAAAGTGACCCCTGTCTGGCCCCCTGGCGGTGCACTTGGGCCTGAAGACAGTGTGACAGTGCGGCAGTGAGCACCGCCTCACACCTCTGTGAAATAAACAGCAGAGGACAGGTGACCTTTCTTTGCCAGCTCCAGTTTAAACCTTTTGCCCCAAAAGGGATGGGACAGCTTGTAGGCTGTTTTACAAATCGGAGGTCTCAATTCTGCCTGTCTCAGTGAGTGACAGTCACTTTAATAGTTTCCCTGTACCCAGCTGTAAAAACAGGGCAATGCCATTCAGCTTGAGATGAGAATCAAAGCAAAGGAGAGAGTGGATATATTTAAGCATTTATCATACTAAGCTCTTTTTAGATTAAAAAAAATAATTTATGCAATTTCTTTAGGCCCTACATTAAGATTTTTTTTACATGATTATCTCATTTGATCCTCATGAGGCAGGTGCTATTACTTCCATTTTACAGATGAAGACACTGAGATTTACATTGGTTAAGTGGCGTGTACAAGGTCACACAGCTGGTACATGGTAGGGCCGGCATTCCAACCCAGGTCTGCTAGACACCGGGCTCCACGCCCTTGACCACCTCACCTGCGGTCCTTCCCTGTGGTCACTGGATCACCGGGAGCCTGTTATGTGCAGACTCCCAGATGCCGCTCTCCAGAGCCACTGGCTCAGACGCAGGCTGAGCCGGGAGATCTGCCTGGTGGTGACTGAGCAGCCTGAAGTGTCACAGCCACTGACTGTATCTCATTATGCTGCCGCCAAATGGTCGTACAGCCTCCTGCTTGTGGGTTTATGGTACTGGCAAGTCCTCTAAGGTTATGTGCAGGCGTCCAAATCTAGGATTTCATAAATAAAAACAAGCAGGTGAGTTATTTCAAGTCCATCACTGCGTCAGTGTAATAAAATGTATAAGGTCAGAGTTCGTTGGTAGAGAATAATTTCCAAAGTAATTCATTTAAGTGGAAAGCAATCTTCTAAAAGGTAGGGTATTAAACAGTATCACTGGGGAGGCTGAACGAAACGGTGTTTAGATTGAGCATGTAAAAGTGATTCCCAAAATCACACCGCAGAGCAGGACCTCAGAAGCTATTGCTCTGGCCGTGACCAGGACGCTGCTTTGTTGTGAGGAGAGCAGAGGTTCGGGGTGGTGCCCGGCTTTAGGGGGTGAGCAGACACCCCTGAGGGTGATCAGCAGGGAACAGCTGGGGGACTCGGAGGCAGAACAGAAGCCAGGGAAGCAGGCAGTTCAGGAGACAGGAGTGACCAACACTGTTAAATACAGGAAGAGGGCCCGTGTTGTTTTTGTTGTTTTTTTTAAGACAAGGCTAAGAAGTACTGTTGACCTTGATGCTAGGTGACCTTTGCAGGGTCAGTTAGTGAGTTTTCCCAGCACCGTTTCAGGGGGTGGGGTAAACAGTAAGTGGACAAGGACCAAATGCAAACAGCATGTGCAGCGAGGACAGACAGCCCTTTCAAGAAGTTGAGTTGAAATGGAAAGGAAACCATATGGTGGCTAGAGATGACCTAGGGAGTTTTATTTGCTGTTGGTTTGTTGTTAGGTCAAGAGAAACTTGAGCAGAGAGGTCAGAGGGCAAGGGGTCAAGGACCAGACAGAGGATGCAGTGTAAGACGGCTGACAGCTGGTCTAATGACTGCAGGATGGGGTGGCAATGGCCCAGATATGGGCACCTTGGAGGTGGAGGGTGGAGCCCTGATCGTAACCATAGCCACAGTCCTGATTTTCTTTTTTTTTTTTCTTTTTTTTAAAGATTTTATTTATTTATTTTTAGAGAGGGAAGAGAGGGAGAAAGAGAGATAGAAACATCAATGTGCGGTTGCTGGGGGTCATGGCCTGCAACCCAGGCATGTGACCTGACTGGGAATCGAACCTGCGATGCTTTGTTTCACAGGCCACGCTCAATCCACTGAGCTGCGCCAGCCAGGGTCTGATTTCCTTCTTGAAGTAGATGAGGTCACCAGCTGAGAAGGAAGGGCTGGTACTGGGCGTGGAGCTGGGGAGCGGTACAGGTTTGGGACAGGGGCTGTGAGGACAGGAGAAGTACTGACCGTCAAGGGCCTTATAGCCCAGGTAAAACGGGAAACTGGGGATTCAGAGTCGGGCCAGCCTGCCAAAGTAGCGCTTGATTCAGCGTCCCGCAGCCTCGGACAGGAGGGGAGAGGCAGGTCGTGGGCCGGGAGCAAGGACCACACCGACTTCCAGTCCAGGACGGTGTGGGACGGCACGCGTCACGTCTCCTAACCAAACGTGATGTTTCCCGTCCGGTGGCAGGTACCCGAGTCGGGAACCCTGAAGCTGTCCCACTTGCGGGAAGGAGCGTACACCTTTCAGCTCACTGTGACGGACAGCGCCGCGCAGAGGAGCTCCGACAACGTCTCGGTGACCGTGCTGCCCCTGGCCTCGTCCCCGGGAGGTGAGGAGGAGGTCCTTCCCTCGAGTTCTCAGTGGCCGGCGGAGGCCAGGCCGCTGAGGAAGGATGGTATGATCGGCTTTGCACAGTCTAGCACCAAATTCCACGGGGGGCGGAGAGGGGGTGTCGAACGAGACAGTCTCTGCCAAAAGTGCGATCACGGACGTGGGCCCCGTTCAACAGTGCTCTGGGCAAAGAACGCTGCGGGATGGGGTGGGAGCACCCTGTGTGAGCCAGAGGGACCCGTCTGCCCTTGAGTCGGTTTCAAAAAGGGCGTTTCCGGGGAGGACCTCATTGCAAGCTGGGCGGCCTGTCTGATATGTGCGCTCAAGAGTAGGAAGTACATTGAAGACACGTGAGAATATATGAAGTGCATGTGTCAGTATGAAAGGGCTGTTTAAACATTTGTGCGGACCCTTTCTGTGGACGCACAGGTGCATTGATAACACCGATTTCCTGCCTGTCTCGGGGCTCGTGTTCTGCTGCACGGCGTAAACCCATCTCATTTTTGTGTGGCTTTCTTTCCCAAACGTCTACATTTCTAAGAGTAGCTTGTCAAGTTAAAAAATCATATGAAACCAGGACCACTGATGGTACAGACGTGTTGCAGAGGGAAGCCCCGCCTTTCACTGGCGGGGAGGGGCTGAGATGTGTGTTCCTGTGCTGGACGAGCACCCGGGCCATTGGAAACCTGACACTGGCTCCAGCCAGTCACTCCCCAGCACAGGACAGCGGGCCTCAGAGGGCTGTCCTCCTGCGATGGAGTGCAGGCCTGGGCAGGGACTGAGCAGAGAGCTGGTTCTGGGAGAAAAGTGCTCGCTCTCAGGAAGAAGACAGAGAAACCCTGCCTTCCCTGCAGAAGTGAGGGAGGGGTTGCTGTGCACAGCCTGGGAGGGAGCAGGGGCCTGTGCTGAGATGCACGGGGAGGGGGGGCTAAAGCACCCCACCCCCACTTGTCCTCCCTGGTTTGTTCACTCAGGCCCGTGTCCCAGGCCCCAGAGGTACATTGCTGGTCGTACATTTCTGGCCTTTCTCCAAAAGGGTAATAAAATGCATTCAAAGTGGCAGGCAGTTATTGGGATCACTTTTGATTACCAAAAGGCCTCTTGAGCATAGGTCTAGTGTATGTAACTCTATATAGGAGCTAAAAAAGGATGCTGTACTACTGTCTGCCCTCCAGAGTCACTCACTGGATAGACTGGAATAACACACTATGAATTAAATAAAACACCGCACTGAGGCATTGAAAACCAGAGGTGGAGATGAAGAGGTGTTTCTGTCTCTCTATTGCAAGTATTGGTCTTCTAGTTAAGACCCAGCTGTAATGGTAACCAAGGGTGGCCGGCCCCTTCCGGGGCGAACAGACAAGCACATACCTCTGCTGACGTGATGACGACTCGGCACAGTGTTGGATATAGGGGCTGCATGTTCTCAGGCTTCAGGGATAATAATCCACTCAAAGAGCCAGCCAACAGACACTTCCGGTATGATCTAGATGAGTGGTCTCCCAGTAGGGTCCCCCACAAATGGTGAAGACATTTTTAGGGTGGAAAAGAAGACACAGGGATTTATGTTTTATGAATTTTTAATCTTCTAAGTTCTCAGTGTGTTTCATAACATGCACAGAATGTTAGCGCAGCGGTACACGCATGTTATTTATAGACGGGAGATGTGTGTTCACCAACATGCTGTGAATTGGGACACGTGGTCAAAAGTTTAGAGACCATCCGTTAGAAAGAAATGGACGAATTATAAATACGGATCTATCTCCAAAACTACCAAGGAATAAGTAAACTTCGGTGTATTTGGGAATTTTACATGTGGACTCAGGGAACGTGAGCAGTGGCAGTGTCCTGCGTGGGGTCCAGAGTCCCCTGCACTCTCCCTCCAAACTCCTTCCCTGCTGACAGAAGCAGAAGCTCCTTTTGAGGCCCAAGTTCTCAGTCACAACGGCAGGCCCTTTGCTTCCTCTTCTTTCTCAGGAGCCTTAACCAATCTGTCTTTTCTCCACCCTCGTCTTCCTCTTGCACTCCTTTGCTGGCCTTTAACTGCCCCTCGGTGGGCTATGCAGCCAGGACCTCACCTGAGCCTGCTCACCGCGCTCGGCCACCTGTCTCAGGGGAGTGGCATCAGCGCCAATGTCGCGGGTCCTGAGAGTTCTCTAGTCCATCCCGCCCCTGGGGAGTTACGGGCTCCTCCTGTGCCTCCAGCCTGATCTCTTCCGTCTGCATTCCCAGTCTCACGAAGTCCCACAGCTGTTACATAGCTGAGTCTAGTAAATTTGGCTCAATCTGGAGCGGGAAATGCCTTTTAAGAAAACGTATTGTAGCTTCTATGCATTGCACTGTGGATTAAAAACTCCTAAGAGCTCCAGAAAGGAGACAGTTTCATTATTTAAAGAAAATAAGTTCACACCAGCTAGTGTCTAAAGTTTCTGTTTATTCTTTACTGTACCAAGGCGGGTATGGCAGTCCAATATGATCTAGATGAGTGGACAAGTAGGGTTCAAGAGTAAAAAGTTAACCCCAGTAAAAAGCATCACTTAGGCAACAAGAATGTAAGACACTGCATGTATAAAACACGGCCAGCCACCTGAGGGCCGCATAGGGTGTAGCCGAGGAGATGATGGGGTGAAGGAACGCACGCAGAGGCAGACCCCTGAGTGAGGAGGCCAGGTCAGGAGGGGGCAGGCCAGAGCTGCTGCTTCTCTCCTCCCACCTCGCAGGCAGTGTCGGCTTGGAGAGCAGCCCTGCAGTGAAGCCCGTGGTGATTCCTGAGAATTTAGTCAAGGGGGCCAAGAAGAGACCCCCCCCCCTTAAATTTTCCAGAACCTGTTGCTCCAGCTCCGACTACCGGGTGTTTCCTCAGTGTCTGCCTCTCTTTACCCATGTGCATCGCATCACACATCTAGTCTCTGTTCGTCTTGACGCGGTGGACGTCGGCGTTCCTGAGCTCCTGTGACTTGAGTCTTGTTTATAAATAGGGTGCTCGAAGGTTTGCTCGCGCTACCACTTCTTCTGTGACGACGGCTGTTGCATCGACATCACACTGGCCTGCGATGGAGTGGAGCAGTGTCCGGATGGGTCTGACGAAGCTTTCTGTCACAGCCGTGAGTCAGCGGCGTGGCATCTGGGGAGGGGGGCGTCAGTATTCTCATGTGCAATGCAAAGTCAGTATCGCTCTTTTTCTGCCCGGTTTCAGGTGAGACTTTATGCGAACAAGCTTTGCTTTAAATTAAGCAGCATTTATTCTGAGTCTCTAATGCTGGTTACAAAGGTCAGATATTCTGTATTGCTGACATTTTTCAGAAATTGTTTCTGATTTTCCAAAAGTTTCTTTACCATCCTAAAAATGCTCTATTAATACAGTCAATCTCAGTTCTCAAACGTCTCGGTTCTTGAGCAATTTGGTTCTCGACCAAGCTGTTCATGGGAAAAAACGTCCTGGTTGTCCAACAGGGTTCTGGGTCTCGATTCTCCACCCGACAGCCCTTTCGTGCGGACACCTGTAAGATCAGCATGCACCTCTCAGGCCACAAACAAAGAGATTCGGATTTTGAACAAGTTGTTTCTCAAACTGTTTTCAGAATGAATTACCGAGGTTCTGCTATATATGCTTTCAGAAAGCTTCATGAGATAACATTTGTTTTGGTAAAATTTTTAAAGAAAATTTGTGATACACTAGGGTGTGGCTAAGTGACCTAAAGCAGTCTTATGTCACATACATAAACATGCAGCATAAGGAAGAGGGAAAGCTGCAGAAAGTTCCTGAACTGCTGGTTTGAGGAAGGATGATGGCTCTCACAGCCTTAGGTTTAAACATTTCATCTCTGTCAGTTTATGTGTGAGAGTTAGAAAGTGAATCATTGGAAGAGGAGGCATCCCTTGAAAGCAAGGGAGAGAAGTTTTCATGGGGGCTCTGACATGTCTTAAATGGGTGGGTTATTATTCCCCAGTACCCATGATTTCAACTCTACTGCAGATTCAGTGGTTTTCCTTAAGGTTCAGAAAAGGAAGCCAGCAACTAACTAGCTCTTCTACGCTTCAGTGAGCCTGGAGCAGAAGGCCGAGACTCACATAGCGACTTCCCAGCCTAGAACCACAGGACCAAGCAAGGATGCAGCAGCCGGCTTCTTGCTGGAGAAGTCTCAGAAAGCCACGGCCCCAAACAGGCCACCTGCATCATCAGACACGGGGAAGAGGGATCGTTCCACCTTTCGGGGACCAAAGATTCAAACGGACCCTGTGATGCCAGGTAAGGACTTGAGACAGGTTCTCCACAAAGAGCCTCATTTTCTGTAATGACACTGGCTGAAAATTAAGGTTATATTTGAAGAGTGTTAAGGAAATATCTCAAAAGAAAGAAGAGTTGAAATGAAGAATTCAGCCAAAAGAAAAAAAACACCTGACATTTGCTCTGATTATTTATAGTCAGAAACACTTACTAATTGCCTTCTTACATTCATAACTAGATGCACAATCCAGAGGTATCACTATGTTTATTTGTAAATAAATTAGAGTTAGAAAGGTTTTTATTTTTAATCCTCATGGGAAGGCATGCTTATTGATTTTAGAGAGAGTGGAAGGGAGGGAAGGAGAGAGGGAGAGAAACGTTGATGTCAGAGAGAAGCATCGATGCGCTGCCTTTCATACCCGCCCCATCTGGGCTCGGCACCCACACAGGCCAGGCATCTGCCCTGGCCGGGCGTCGACCCCACGACCCTTCAGTTTACAGGATGATGCTCCAACCAAATGAGCCACACCGACCAGGGCTAGAGTTCAAAGTTTTACCAAGTATGTTAAGGAAACTAATGCCCTAAGTGTTAAATTTTAGATTATTTTGAGACAAAGCAGTATAACCCCTATGTATTCACATGTAAATCCTCTTCACACTAAGTGAATGAAAGAAATTATTATGTTGAAATGGTTGCATGTGCTAATAATTCAGAATTATGCTTTCAATTTAACTAAATCCGTAATTTATAGTTTAATAAGGCCAGTAATACTTTTAAAAGCAGTCACACTGCTGAAGCATTGCAAGCTTATATCATTCTAAATTTCTTTTTTACACATTTATAGCTGCATGATTGTATGACATACGAAAAAGAAATACGGATGATCACAGTTATGTATGCTTGTGCAAATATTTTCAGTACTCAAACTCTGTATACATTCAAGTGAAGTAATTTGTCACTATTTTAATGACTTATGAAAAGTTGTTGTCCATTGCAGAAGATACAGAGGATACAAATAAAAAGAAAATAACTTAAAATATCACCCTTTATTGAAAACAAATTTTAATGTCTTGGTATATTTGCTTACAATATTTTGCTTATCCACTTTGTAGATTTTAAGTGCCTTCATAAAAATATGTTTGCAAAAATTCCATTCTGGGCCTTTCCTTTTGACAGTTGAGGTTAAGTGCACTTCAGAAGCCCGCTTTGCTCAATTCCTTGTGGATCCTGTCACCTAATGGTCAAATTCAGTACTGCAGCCCTGCCTTGGGATTTTAGTCCATTTTCTCTTTATGGAGTGGACATCTAAGAAACTGAGTTGGGGGCCAGGAGGCGGGGGGCGGCAAACGTTTTTGGCAGGAGGCATGAAGAGCTGATGGAGAGAACTGAGCTTTCAGAGGCCAGGGTGGATGGACTCCTGCTGTGTCCCTGTGGTAGAGAGGCCCACGTGGGCGTGAATGAATTCACAGCAGGCAGAGTAGAGACCCAAGGCCAGGTCTTCTGAATTAGGTTCCAGTCTCAGCTCTGCCTTTAGAACCTTGAGCGACAAGTTGCTTCCTGTCTCTAGACCTCAGTTTCCTCACAGTTCACACAGGATTTCAAGCAGATGACCTATGGCCCCATGCAGCACTGAGTCTGTTTCAGGGGTGCTAAATAGCCTGGGTTCACGCAGCACTCCATCAGCCCTGATTTGTGCTGGGTGCTGCTCAGAGGTCCTGTCACCCGAAAGGGACCAGGGCTGAGGCAGGTCTGACCCAGCACGGTCTGGAATGTGTGGGTTCTTGACTTTCTGCAGGGAAGATTTCCCAACATGAGTCCAGATGACTTTGAGAGTGCATTTATTAAAGCTGGTGACAGTGAAACAAAGGAAGGGCTGAAGATAGAAGAGGCAAGCTCACAGCAACAGCAGTGAACCCAGCCTAGACTGGGCTGCCTTGACTCAGGAAGGAGGTCACAGTAACAGGAGTGAGCCACCCGGGGCTGTGTGGGCTCAGGAAGGGAAGTTACAGAGGCGAAGGGACACAGGCTCGGGGGGTTAGCCCGGAATGAGCTGCCACTGCCCACTGCTCCCCCAGTTGCAGGTTTTGTGGGGACCCTTAGAGCTTCGGAGAAAGCAAGCAAAAGTAAAGGCCTGAGAAAAGGCAGCGGGGAGGGGTGTGGGCGTGCTCAGGGAGGAGCACAGACTGGGCCCTTTTCCTTGAGAGTTTCTGTCTGTCTTCTGAAGGGGGGGTCTTAGGGGGAGTCTCAGGGGAGGGTCTCAGCAGAACACTCAACAGCTTCCTGGGTGTGTCCTTCCACGTGCTGACGCATCAGAATGAGTGGGCAGGGGAATTTGGGCTCAGTCTCTGGTCAGCTTCAGGGCTTTACTATTTTTATCTTGTGTTTATCTGGATCTAATTGGACTTTCTGTGATTTATTCCCAACTTTTTCTGTTGTGGGGTGTGGCTGGCACTAATGGGGCCATCGGGGTCTCTGTTCTGTCTCTGCCTGAGCTGGGTGATGTAAGCTACTCGCTCTCTTGTTGGGGAGGAGAGGTGTCAACCATCTGCTCCCAAGTGGCCTTGGTTCGGGAAGACAAGAGCTTGTGGTTTATTAGCAGGCTCTTCACTGCTTGGCCTGGTTGAACTGTTTTCTCAGCCCCCTTCATTCCACTTGCCCAGTAATCTCCTAGCTTCCTGCGCTCCTGTCCAGCCCCAGTGCTGGCTCCTGGGGAGTGAGGACCCAGCCTCAGAATCATCTTGAAAATAACACGCCAGGCTGCCACCACCAGGCGTGGGAGTTGCCACCCAACTTGAAATATATTTGCATCTCAGACAGTGATATTAAGGCCTTGACTTGGGCTATGAAGACGTGAGGAATGGAGTTTCAGAGATGCAGAGAGATTACATATCCAGTTATTTATAATATATATTGTTTTTCCTAATTGTTAAAGTGATATGTATGTACTGTAGAAAATGTGGAGAATACAGGAAAAAATTTAAATTGTCTAGCAAAACTCACTGTAAACATTTTGTTGCATTTTCTTTTGGTTACTTTGATTTATATCCACATGCACACACATTTATTTACTTTTAAGAAAATTAGGATATTATTTTTGCAAAAATTTTATTTTTTATGAGCATTTTTATGTTATTAAACGTCCATCGAAAACACAGTGTTTGGTCCTGGCCAGGCAGCTCCGTTGGTTCGCGCACTGTCCCCATACCCCGAGGTCGTGGGTTCAACAGGGCGCAGGGAAGCGTCAGCCAGTGAGTGCGAACGTGAACACAGCAACAAATTGATGTTTTCTCTTTCTCTCTCTTCCCAACATCAATCAATCCATAAAAATTTTTTTAAACCCGTAATGTTTGAAAATGCAGGGTAAAGAGAGTGGGAAGAACAGATCGTTGAAAGTGTGAGAAACGGCCTCCACAGCACGTGACTTTCATTTCCCCTGCAGCCGTCTCCCCTCCCCCTCCGTCGTCCCTGAGACCACCAGGCGAGAAGCCCCAGCTTCCAGTTTCACGGGAGCTGAAACGCTGTTACACCCTGCGTAGCACAGACTAAAAACTGCATTACCGGGCCTGACCCAGGCCTGAGTTTCATAAGGCTCATCAGCCAGCACAAGAAATATGGACGCGTTCAATTTTCTGCTGCCTCCTTCCCCTGCAGACACGTTTTGAGGATAAAAAGCCTTCACTCATTTTAGACGTGCTGAAGAGATAATAATATTAATACTCGGGATGTAGTTCAGAAAGCAACGAGAGGCAGCTTTTCATCTATCACCCTGGCAGAGGTGAGAAAGTATAATAATGCTTAGAAGAGTACAGAGAAGCAAGTCTCATGCACTTTTGGTGGGATTAACTTGACAGTTTTCCATTACCCAGTTGATTTGTGAACCTCAGTAAATTCATGTATATTTATTTCTCGGTACAAATCACCAGATACGTTTATGTAGCAGGTTCACAGTCTTATTTCAGTGGCGGGCGCCATGCACACTCTGTCGGTGCCGTGTGGGTCAGGAAGGGTGGATTTGTGCGGCCCACGTGCTGCGCTAGCGAACCTGGGCCAGGGCCGAGCCTCTCTGAGTCTGAGCAGAAAAGCCAGAGCGGGGTCAGGGGAGAAAGGGAAAGAAATAGCTTGTCTCTGTGCCTTGTGTATGCTCTTTGTTCGTTTCTTTATGAAGAAAACTTTCTGCACTGTCTCTGCTTTCCATTGTATTCAGAGACCACCCTTGACTTTCCTAGCCTTCCTTCCCTTCTTCTCTGGGCTGGGGGCGGGGAGGGGGCGTGGCTTTCTACTAGCCACAGACTCTGCTTTATTTAATGGGTCACATTGAATGTTATCTAGTTGGTAATATCAAATATAGGCCTATGTTTGGTACCAATGTCTGATACTACCTTTAAATATCAAACTTACGAGCATTTTAATGTTCATAAACGTGATATCCTTTAAGTCCTTTCTTTAAGTCCATCTTAAAAAAATAAATACGGTTGTATTTTCATGTCTGTTCCCTAAAGTTTCTACTGTACCTTCAGTATGTGTTCTACTCATTTTCCACAGATAGCGGTTCCTCAGGGAAGAGCAGAAAAGAGGCAAATAACATATTTGAGTCGAAGAGCAACCGAGGAGGAGCGGAACACCCAGCCCCAGAAATAGGTGAGTCTGTACCTTGGAATTGCATTGTGGAGTACAAGGAGTTGCAGAATCACGTACCCTCTAGTTGAGGATGTTAGATAAGGCTTCAGCAGTTCATGACAAGAGCAGTGACCTGGGGATCAGAACTGTAATCTCTTAGATAAGTGCCTTAGAGTTGAGAAGCGTTCAAAAACAGAAGGGAAAGTGCTTGCTGGAAGCACTGATGGGAGATGGCACAGAACACTGGTTTCTTAGCGCTCATAACAAGGATTATCACACAATGACATATGTTCTTCCGCCTACTAAAAGAGGAGGTGATATAAATGCTTGCAAATCATAAGAGGGAGGGATAGATTCTGGAGGGCTTAAAAGAAAAGGAACTGTATTCTTATCTCTACATCAAGCTTCACCTTCAGCCCTTACACTCATCACCTCGCTTCCTCTTTGATTAGTGGTCCCTTCCAGGCGTGACGTTCTGTGAAGAGTCATTTCATGGCCTCGTGGAAAAGAACATGGGCTCTCGAATCAGATGCTACAGTTCAGATGCTTGCTCCACCACTAAACTATCACTTTGGGCAGGTTGTCTTATCTGCCTGGATCCCGGTTTCCTCTTTAGTGGGATGGGGGTAATAACTGCACCTGCCCCACAGAGCTGTTAGGGAGAATAAATGGGGCACTGGGTCAAAAGCATTCAGCACAATGCTTGGCTCGTACAGTGAACTATCAGAGTAAAGGGCCTGAGTGCCCTGTCCTCTCTCCCCATGTCTAGTGGCAAAGACGGAAGACAACAGGGGCAGGGAGACTGCGGGAGGTGGAGGGAATATTTAGTAAACGGAAGAAAGGTATCCTATAATTTTATTTATTCCATCATTTTGGTTGTTTTTAACTAGAAAGAAAACACTCTGCATAATTCTATGGAAAGTAAGGTTTTAGTCCTAAATCCTGCAAATTAGTTAAAACCTTTAGGGAACAAAATATGATTCTTGAGTTATAGATCTAAATTAAGAAAACTTTCTTTTTACCTTAGTGTTCTTTGTAATATCTGGACAATATAATTTCAAACAATAGATGGCTAAAGTACCCCAGAAATCAAACACCTGGATGCTGCCTGGTCTGCTGTCCTGCTGGCCTTACCTTGTCCCAAGACGTCCCGGTCACGTGAATAGAATACCCAGTTCGCCCACTTGGTCGTTTCTGAGAAAACTGCCATGATGTGGTTTTGAAGTGTTTAGAAAATTTTAAATCTCAAATTACCCAAACTAAAAACATGAAGGAGTACTTAAAAGTCAAGAATAATTTTTAGTGTTCTAGCAAGTACTTTGTGGGAGATTTCATTTTCCTTGTCAGCAGAGCATTAAACAGGAATTAGATTTGCCAGTTCAGAAAATCTCCCTGTCATATGTCTGTTTTATGGTTACCCTGAAGCCTAAACTCTGGTGCCCATCCTTAAATAAGTCACACACATGCAGAAGGGCAGCCCGTAACCATTTTCCTGCCCTGGGCAAGCAGGGGATGACAACCCCGGTCTGTCTTTTGTCCCATCCCTCTGCGGCTAGTGCAGGAAGATGCAGGGGGACGGGCACCCTTATGGCCCTTAGCCATTTCAGAACCGCCTTGCTCGGGGTGGCCATTTGGAAACTCTACAGCCAAAGCCCAGCGTGTTGACCTGGAGAAATTCTGCAGTGATTCCTGAGTCCTCCGGAGGGGCTGGTATGTGTGGGCTGTCTGAGCCAGCTCTGGAGTCCAATTCTAGACCGCTAGTCTGTCACAGGACCTTTACCTTTCACACTTCTCTATGGGAATCCCAGCCTCACCCAGAACTTTGCTCGACACCCAGCAGTCAGTACGCATCGTCCACATCCCCTCTTCCTGTGTCCAGAGACCTCCAGACGGAATCTTCTTGGGGGACTTTACCTGGGATTGTACAAATACACCAGTAGTTGAAATGCCATTAGTATGTACTCGGCCCCAGGTCCTCTTGTCTTGAAGGGGAGGCCACTCTACCTGGAACCAGTTTAAGACCCAAAAGTCAAGCTATCGGGAGTGAACTTCCTCAGTGACCTGCCCCCAAACGTAAACCCTTGTCTGTTTGCTCCCACCCTCTTCCCCATCCTCCAGGACTAAAGGAACAGCTGTCCCCTCTCCGAAGGTCAGCCTCTCCCCCAACCTTGGTGTAGCCCCGTACCTTCTCCGGTGTACTGCTCCATCATTTAGTAACTGCCCTATGTTTTTCATCTGTTTCTCTACTGGCTCATTCCCCCAACAGCTGCAGACACGTCCAGATCTCCCTCCATTCACTGGTGTCCCTCATCTCCGAGCTCCCTATGAATGAACTTCCGGTTGCCAAGTCTAGTGGCCTCCCCAGGCCTCTCCTTAGCATGTTGCTCAGCTGAGCACTCTTCTCTTGAAATAGTCTCTTCCGTCTGCTTCCAAGACTCTTCTCTCTTGGTTGCCCTACCATTTCTCTGGCTTTTTTCTTTCTTCTTGGTTCTCTCCTTTCCCTGCCTTCTTAAATGCTGGTGTTCCTTCGGAACTTGTCTCTGGCCTGTCTTCCTTTCTCTCTGGTGACCTCACCCACCTCCATGGCTGCAATAACCACCCAGATGCTAAGGGCTCCCCCATATTTAGGCCCAAATAATCCATGAGCCTAATTTCTATTAGAAATTCCACCTGGATCACCTCTAGGATCCCAATTTGAAAAGGTCAAAAAATAAACTTCTCTCTCCCACCCACCCAAAAACCTCCATTACATCCAGATCACTCGAGCAAAACCCAGTGAACCAGATGTGCGAGCACACCTCTCCCACCTGCACTTCGTGAGCACTGAAGGGCTGTGGCGATAAGGCACAAGGGCAGAGCGGGCGACCTTTAGCATCTGCTTATTCTCTGTGATTACCAGCAGTCAGCTCAGGGCCAGGCTGCTCATTAATGCAGAAGGAATGAGTAAATGAATGAGAGAGAATGTCGCACAATAGGTTTATACGTTGGAGACTTTTGCTCCTCCAGTTCCGCCAGTTGGCAAAACCCTTGCAGCTAAAAATAGCTCTTACTGTCTCACCTGCAAGACTGGCTGACCATAGAGTAGGTCAGACTGAAAATACAGCCTCCTGAACTTGGTAGGCCTGGCCTGGTGTTTTACAGGTTTGACTTTTAGATTCCACATGTAAGTGATACACATAACAATGGTCTTTCTGTCTCTGACTCAGCTGGTAAATAAGCCATAGACAGCTAATATACAGTATAATGAATATAAATAATATTGTACTACAACACAATGATGTAATGTGATGAATATTGCTTCACAATTATATTACAATATATAAATGTATCAAAGTAGCAGGCTGTAGACCTCAAATTTGTAAAATATAACCTATCAATTGCCCTGGCCAGGTGGCTCAGTTGGTTGGAGCATCATCCCGCACACCAGAAGGTTGTGGGCTCAGTCCCCAGTCGGGTGCATAGGGGAGACAACCAATCGATGTTTCTCACGTCAGTGCTCCTCTCCCTCTCTCTCTCTCAAAATCGGTGAATATGCCCTCAGGTGAGGAGTAAAAAGAAAAAAATGTAACATCAAGTTTATCAGATTTTTTCTTAAGACTGAACCACCGTGTTCCTTCCAGACCCCTGCAAGCCTCTAAGGGCCGCTCCTAGTCTGGGTGTGCAGAGCAGCCCCGCGGAGCACCCTGCGAAGGAGAAGCAGATTTTCCCCCTCCGCTGCCCAGAGCCCAAACTGCACCAGCATGTTTTGAAGCTGGTTTTCAGCTAACATGCTCTACCGGCTGGAAGTAGGTTCCCTGAATTTAGAAAGGGAAATAAAATGTTAAAGCACCAACTAGAACAATAAATCAGGAGTTAGTCCACATTTACCTTGAGACCACGGTCATGTGTAACCTGTAAGTGTAACCTTTGACTACAATGAAAGTGTCCTGTGATCACAGTGTCTTTGCAGCTGTTTACAGGACGTCTGTCACAGGGGACAGAAGGGTGACCTGACTGCAACATGCGTACCCATGGGTGCCATCTGTAAATTCTGTAGGAACCTGGTGGAGAATGTGATTTCAAAAAGTCTGGGTTTGAGACCGAGGCCCGCCATTTACTAGCTACGTGTTCTTAGGCCAGCTACTTAACCTCCCGGCACCTCAGTTAACCTGCAAAATGGTGGTAACACGGGTATCTCCTTCAGTGAGTTCTTCAGATTTAATGACACAGAGCGTACAGAATGCTTATCAATGGAAAATCACAGCTGTTACTGTTCCTAATCACCTGCCCCTTCCCTCCCACCTGTTCACAGGTGCAGTGCTGCCCCTGACCCTGGGTTTGGCCATCACTGTGTTGCTGCTTCTCATGGTCGCTTGCCGCCTGCGCCTGGTGAAACAGAAACTTAAAAAAGCCCGGCCCATTACATCTGAGGAATCTGACTACCTCATCAATGGGATGTATCTCTGATGAGTATGGCTTCAGTAGCTGGGACAGGGACATGTTTCACTTACAATTGATATATATTATATATTGGGTTTTGGATATTTAGAACTTGTTTTTAACCGGGCTGAGGAAGGCACAGAAAACCCAGAAGATTCTACAAGCCCCAAACCTATGCTCTTATTTATTGTAGAAAGATTTTCCTTGGGAAGTATGTGAACTATTTAAATTTAGAGTCGTCCATGTGATTAAAGATTTTTACAAATCGAATTCTGATTTACATAAGCTGTTTTGGAAAACAGCAATTTGTAGTTAGCCGTGGCAGAAAATTTAGTATCTCAAGGGGTGGCCTTAGGATAGCAATGTTAATACTCTTTACTTGTTAGAAGCCAGCCGTGGGCCCCTGGCCACCCCGTACCCCCTTGTGCCCGGCTCCCCCGTGTTCTGTGGCCCTCCCAGTCCTCACTTCAAGCTTCCGTAGCTCTCCCTTCTCTTCTCCCCTGCAAAACCTGTTTCTGAGAATGATTCTCCAGTGAGTTTATACCTTCCATGAGATGTTACCTCACAGGTCAGTGATGACTCTCGGAAGGTGAGCGAACGTGCATGCTTCCCAACACCTCTGACACGCTGTGTGAGTGGCTGGCTGCCTCACTAGGCTGACCTTTGGGAGAAAAAGCTCAGACTGAATTATAAATAGCTCTAACATGGTCATGAAGTGATACGGGAAATCAAGGTGGAAGCAGAGAGGCTGGCAGGTCAATAATTTTAACAGAACCTTAGCTGAAGGCAGAGTGAGCAAAGACTATTAGTACTTTCTTGAACCCACTCCACACTGCTTGATGGCCCAGAACACAGCAGCTCATTCTCACGGGCACCAGTTTTCAACAGTAGTCTGTGCTGCTGGGAGAGGAAGATGCGTTTAAATTGAAAAGCAGGACACTGAGTGGATTTCATTGAGTGGATTGCTTTTGTAAAAATGCTGCATGTGTACGTATCAGCAGGTTCTTTCATCCAGTGGAATCAACTGTTTTTCCCATTATTTACATAATGCTACAAAATATTATAACGTGCAATCGGCTAATGCCAGGCTTATATATTCTCAGAGCATAAAGCAGTTTTGCACAAATTCGTCTTTACAGAAAACTGGCATCTAGCTGAGTATCTGTTTCTTTTAATTTGTAGGATTTTAAAGGCAAATTATTTCCATAATCACCTAATACCAGAATGATACATTTTCTAGAAACTCTTCTTCTGAATGGACGATACAAAGCGGTGTGTTGTCTGTAGCCACATGCTGTCCTATTTACATAATATGGGGTTGGTTCGCTTGCCCTTAAGTGGCAAATCTGGTAAAATTCTTGAAAATACTCTAGGAGACATTATTTTCAGACTGAACCTCAGATCAGTTGTTCCTTTAGCAGAAAGATTAATTTGGGTTGGAGATATAACCAAATACATTAACAAATAGAAAATTCTAGAAAAACAGAGAAATTATTTTTATCTCCTAAAAAATTCAAGCATTTTGTTGAAAGTCTAGAATTGAGCAAAGATTCAAATTTCTCCTCAAGGGCAGTTAGAGAAGTGGCGGTGCCAGTGGACTCCGGATGTCTGTCCTTCCTGTGTGAGCCCTGCCCTTAGTCTTCGACAGCCGTGCCCAGTAAAACAGAAACTGTTGAGGTGTGTCTTTCAGCACATCTTTTATAATGAAGAAATTGAACACAATTTAGTATTGCTACCATGTTGAAATACTTCAGATGTCCCATGTACAACAGTCCAAATAAACTGTATTTTATTCGTAAGCCTTTACAACTCTTTAATATAATCGTAAGGTGCCAATATTTACTGAGCTGTACTATCTGCCTGGATTTAGTCATACCAACTATATTTTCCAAAGAGGGAAATGAAGAGTTAGAAAAGCAGAATTAAGATCTTCAAAATACTTACATTGTAAGTATTTGGCACTTTTCAAAGTCAACTTACCTATTGATTTTGTGATTGAAGGAGCTCTGCAACTAAGACGATTAGAAATGATTTTAAAGGACAAATTGTCCACAGTTTGTCTCTCCACCATGTCCCTGTGTTTCACTTCTCTTTTCCTGAGAAAAGGCTCACCAAAACCGTCTTTCTGAAAACATAAAACTTTTTCCCTTCAGTCCTCAGTACAAGCAGACTATAGCTACCACCTCTGTCTTCCCACAAGCATTTTAATGTTTCAAGTCACCCGAGTTTCAAACATGTTCTTTTCCATAGGAAACAACATAATTCTTTCACCTTTCTCCCACTGACTTTCAAACTATGCGATATGCTCCACCATTCCCTTTCACAGCAACCCACACCTGCTTTCTGTCACTGGTGGCCGCGCACGTGCACCTTACCCTGTGTTCCCGTGACATGAACAGAGAAGTGCCTCTTTCAACTTGTGCCTCAGTTTCGCTGTCCAAGGCAGGGCTTGTAAATGAATTACCTGGGTCTCACCTGCATAAACACGTACTGCAGTGCAGTGTACCGCAGAACACAGGCCCCATCCTCTTCCTCACATGTCCCGTCTTCTTCACATGTTGATGATGTGTCTGCCACGTAAGCATCTGAGCCTGAGATTCTGTAATTTGGGGTCACTATTAAATTATATTGTCCCCAAACAAGTTGTTTTGGTTTCTGCTTCTTTTGGGATTATGCTACTTCACCATCAGAATTACTCCAATTGTTTTCTGGACTCTAGGTTTTCTACAATTGTTGGCATTAAAATTGAATGAGAATTTCTAACAAAAAGCTGTCCAAGCCACATTTAAAAAGGGAAAAGCTTAGTTTCCAGTTTGCTGTTCACAAATGTTCTCATCTCTCTGGCTCTTCCAGAACTGTGTTGCTGACTGATCCTTGAAGGCACTGGCCCCACTTCCCAGCCCTTTTGCCCTACTTGATTCTAGTATTCTAAAGATGAATGCATTTTCCTGGTATAGCCACTTTAATAGCGAACACTTACAGATTCTTTGGCTAAATATGAAACCATCAAGGAAAAAATAAGGTTAGACACCCCAGAGCTTAAATGCGTTCAGGAATGGATTGAATGACCAGAATTGAACCTTCTCCTACATTTGCTTTATTTAGGTCTAACTACGTCTTCCTTCCTACTTATTTTAACTCTCCAATCACATCAGTTTTTAACCTTGTGTGCCACCACACTATAAAATGGAAATGTATCAACTTAAAATATCACTCAGCTTAAATATATTTTTATAGTCATTTCAAAACTTAGGAAACTTCTCAAAACAAATATGAATACAAAAAGTATTTTAACTTTTACAAAAAAGCTAAAAAGAAAATTGTATTGAGTATATGGACTTTAAAAAAAAAAGTCCTCTCTCCAAAAATAGTCATCAAAACACCATCTTTAAATGACACATTACATCAGGTGGATTTGATATTTTCAGAGGATTATACCCCCAAACTACAGGATATACTTTTTTTTTCAAGTCCACGTGGAACATTTTCCAGGACAGACCATATGTTAGGCCATAAAATAAGCCTCCATAAATTTAAGACTGAAATCATTTCAAGCATCTTCTCTGACTACATTAGTATGAAACCAGAAATCAAGTACAAGAAAAAATGAAAACACACACATAAGGAGTCTAAATAACATGCTCCTAAACAGTGAATGGGTTAACAACAAGATCAAGGGAGTAATCCAAAGATAACTTGAGATGAATGAAAATAACACAACCACCAAAAATCTTGAGAGCAGTCCTAAGAGAGAAATCCATAGCAATACTGGCCTGCCTCAAGAAACAAGGAAAAGCTCAAATTAACAGTCTACACCTAAAGGAACTAGGAAAAAAAAACAATAAACAAAGTCCGAAATGAGTAGAAGGAAGAAAATACTAAAGATCACAGCAGGAATAAATGAGAGTCTAAAAAAACAATACAAAAGACCAATGAAGCCAAGATCTACTTCTTTGAGAAGATAAATCTAAGAGTAATAAACCTTTAATCAAATTTATCAAGAAAAAAGTATAAATAAATAAAATCCTAGAAAATATAAGCTCCCAGGACTGAATCAAGAGGAAACAGAAATTCTGAACAGACCAATTACAAACAACGAAATTGAAGCAATAACCAAAAAACTCCTAATAAAGTCTGTGACTGAATGGCTTTGCAGGTGAATTTTACCAAACATTAGAAGAACTAATACCTATCCTCAAACCATTCCAAAAAATTCAAGAGGAGGGAAGACTCTCAGGCTCATTTTATGAGGATAGTATCCTGATTGCAAAACCAGGGAAAGACATTACAAAGAAAGAAAATTATACGCCAACATCCCTAATGTAGATATATGCAAAAATCCTCAACAAAATACTAGCAAACCAAATTCAGCAATACATTAAAAAGATCATACACCATGATCAAGTGGGATTTATTCCCAGGATGCAAGGATGGTTGAACATCTGCAAATCAATTAATGTGGCACACTGCATAAACAAAGGGAAGGATAAAAATCTTATGACCATATCAATAGATGCAGGAAGGCATTTGACAAACTCCAGCACCTATTTATGATAAAAACTCTTAGCAAAGTGGGAACAGAGGGAACATATCTCAACATAATAAAAGCTACATATAACAGATCCACAGATAACATCATACTCAGCAGGGAAAAAAGTGTTTTCCTTAAGACTGGGAACAATATGGGATGTCTGCTTTCACCACACTTACTCAACATAGCACTGGAAGTCCTAGCCTCAGCAATCAGAGAAGAAGTAAAAGGTATCTAAATTGGAAAGAAAGAAGTGAAACTCATTATTTGAAGACATGATACTGTACAGAGAATCCTAATTTCCACCAAAAAGCTACTAGAACTGATAAATGAATTCAGTAAAGTAGCAGGATACAAAATAAACATCCAGAAATCAGTTGCATTATTATATATGTATAATTAACTATCAGAAAGGGAAACTAAGAAAACAATCCCACTTACAACTGCACCAAAAAACAAAATACCTCGGAATAAATTTAACCAATGAGATAAAAGACCTGTTCTTGAAAAATCATAAGACCTTGAAGAAAGAAATCAAAGAAGATACTAATGGAAGCATATACCATGCTCATGGATAAAGAGGATTAATATCATTAAACTGCCCAAAGCAATCTATAGATTCAACACAATTCCTATCAAGATACCAATGGTATTTTTCTCAGAACTAGAACAAATCCAAAAATTTGTATGGGAACACAAAAGACCCTGAATAGCAACAGCAATCTTGAAGAAGAAGAACAAAGTGGAAGGAATCACACCACCTAATATGAAACTATGTTACAAGGCCATAGTAATGAAAACAACATGGGTTCTCAGAAGACATGAGTTCTTTTAATGCTATACCAAGCTACTAGAAATTTGTTAACATTTAGCTGAAAACCAGAAGCACCTATCTCTCTAATGAAAAAATATTAAGAAGCCTTATTTCTTGGCCAACAATCAGATGCCAAGGATGTTTGCAAAGAAGTCATGAGTTTTAAGTTATTAAAAAATGTTATTCCATTTTAAAATATATTGATTTTTTAAAAAGACTATTTATATTTATTTTTAGAGAGAGGGGAAGGGAAGGAGAAAGAGAGGAAGAGAAACATCAATGTGTGGTTGCCTCTCACGAGCCCCCAACCTGAGGACCTGGCCCACAACCCAGACATTTGCCCTGACTGGGAATTGAACCAGCAACCCTTAGGTTCGCAGGCTGGCACTCAACCCACTGAGCCACACCAGCCAGGGCAAATACATTGAATTTTTAAGATGCTGTAGTAGAGGTACATGATAGTTCATTTAAAAAGTGTAATCAACTTTTTTTTTTACAATTAATTTTTTAAATTAAGACAATGGGAATTTAAATATTTGCATGGACAATATCAGTGTTTTTTCTTTCCCCTCAAATGTCACTTTTTTTCCTAATGTTACTAGTTGGGAAAGAGTTGAAACCCTCATTAGAAACTCAAATTTTTAATTTTAGTTCTTTAGAGCTAGAGAGCTAGATAGATTAGGCCTTGAATAAAATCAGATCTGTAAAAAAGGCCTTGTTTCAACACGATCTCACTAGATTGGAACTTTTAAAAGTATTTTAATTCTTGCCCTTCATATTATTAAGGAAAAGTAAAATTCTAAAATATTTTAGAAAGTATGAATAGCAAAGATTAAAGAAAGTTGTTATCTTTGACCAACACACATATATAAACTCAAATGTCATGAAGAGAAAAGCTGTTGAACCTAGTTAAAATTATTCCCATCTCTATCCATTTATATACACTCCCTTAATAACCACTCCTGTTTATTCAGTATTTTAACATTTTAATTCCCAAAAGTATAAAGTTCAAGAGCAATGCTAGGCATAGTATTTGTCTGTACCAATCAGGTGGTACTTTGTCTTGTCACATTTATACACTGTCCTCTCAATGAACTGTAAATTCATTGATCATAAAAGCCTTTTTCCATCCCAACACCTAACAGAGATTCACATATAATGCAATGCTGATAATGGCTATGAAGGGTACAGACTAGTGGATACATTTAAGAATCAATTTAATTTAACGTTAAGCTGTAAAGAATACTCAATCTTTGAAACGAACTCAAATGACGCCGAGTCCTGGACACAAGGGTCCATGGCCCAGGTCCAGAAGCAATACCAACAGCAGCCAACTGAAGCCAGTGATGGACTGAAACTCACATGGTTTGGCCACCAACTCTGGCTAGTTTCCTGTGTCTAAAACCTGGCCCCAGAAGAGACATTAGTGAAAAGATGTACGCATAATTTTTAAAGCCATTTTTAAGAAGCAAAGCTTAAGACGTTAAGAGGTGAGGGAAAGGTGCTTCGCACCCTAAGCATCCACGTGCAGGAACCACACGCACTTGCTCTCGGCAGACAAAAGGGCTTTGCTGGGAGTGCCAGTCCTGCTGGCTCCAGAGCTCACATTGCTTCGAGTTCCAGAACCCTGAGCAACACTCAGATCCCACTATAAAAGGAAGATAACCACAACATTTAGGGAAGATTCCAAAGTGCTACTGACTTCTTAGAAACACACTTACAGTCATTCTAGTAACAAATCCTCTACAGGTGAGAGACGGGTTTTGGTAAATTTGTCCTCAAGCCAGCGTCTCCCTGACAGTCAGTCAGTTTATTCGCTCACTCATTCTGCATGTATCACACACCTACAGGAGGACGGGCCCTGTGATAGGCAAATGAGGTGTTGTCCTTGTCCTCAAGAAACATGGTCGCTCTCACTCTACAAATGTACAGCTGAATCAATGCCAGTAACCTACTCATATTTCACAAGAGGGAGCATGAGAGAAAAAAATTTTTTTGCTGTGATTTTGGTCAGCATTCTGTACCCGGTGGACATGCTGTTCTTTCTTCGCATTCAAACACCACCAACGCCTCTTTTACTTTTAACTTTATTTGGCAAAGCAGCACTGCATAAACTGTTCAGTAACTAGGACACAGCTTACACAGCATGTTAAATTCATATACATTATCAGCAGCAAATTAGAAACAGAAGAGATAATACTGAGCTACAAGTCTCCTATAGTTTTTAAAGAGAAAAAGGAAGAACTACATCAGTTGTGTCCAATCTGAACTGCTGAACGTTAAGGGAAATCACCTTCCATCTTCTTAAAGTTTAATATTTACAATTGCTTAGTTTTAAGGTAACAAAGTAGCTGATTGTATCTACAACATGCTATTCTATGACACCACATCAAAAGCTTTAAAAAGGAAGCTCATCTCTATTTTCTTAGTAGCATCTAACAGACACCCAAAAATGAAGAATCTTAACTGGTGAATGGGGGTGTTATCTGATACACAAAAGCAATCTGAAAAATTAACATCGGAACAGAATTAAGTGTCTAGAAAAAGAAAAACTTCTCCTCCAAATCAATTCATAAACTAAGTTTTGCATTTTGCAGAACCTTTCCATTTAATATTTTAAAGTAAAATGTGGGCACATTAAAGAACAAGTGTATACTTTGTATCCTTTCTCTACCAATTTAACTTTTCTGCCTCTCCGAAGAATTAAAAACCCTATAAAACCACACATTTTCATGCTGAAAATAATAGTGTAACAAAGTCCAAAACAAGCTGTGATGCTGTTGGTTTTCAAAAGCTCTGAGGACTGAGATGAGCAATCCACTGTAATATTATATACTGGTCAAGCTGACGTTGCTTTTACAGTTCGTCCCTGGGGGAAGAAAAGAGAAATATGTAAATAGGAGTCACATACTGCAAGGCTTGGCTTTCTAATAGTTCAGATACAACAGTTAAATCCGTAAAAAAAAAAAAAGGAAAAAAAGAAACAAAAAAACCCCAACAAAACACTAATCCACAAGCAATATATTATTTAAAAAAAAAAAAAAGCAAATGATCTCAAGTCCAAGCAAAAATGGAAATCAGCCATTTCAAACATCTCTCATGCTAATCCAGAATGAAGTATGAAACCTGCAGGGTCTGAATTCTTTTCTTTTAAATTCTAAAGATAACTTTCTTTCTTCAAGACCAAAAATTCAGAGAAACTACTTTTAGATCTAGAATCTTGCTAATACTACTTATTGTAAAATGATGATTTGAATATTTAAGAATTCAAATAAAATTTTACAGTTGCAGTCACAAAACTGGACAAAAATTTAGCCTTTTGCTTAGAGTATCTGTGAGCAATTGCTGAGTGGGTCAATCTCAACCCAAACTCTTTGGGAGAAAAAGCACTGTCGGTAGGTATAATATACCTGTCAGCTGATTTCATAAGGCAGCTTTATTAGCTCCAAAAAAAAAAATAACTGTGCGCTCAGCCAGGTGTAATACTGTACCAGCAACTGCCAGTGAGAGGAAGGAAGGAATAAAAGTGCAATCTCAAATAAATGGTACGGTAGGTAAATTATACCTCAGTAAAGCTGTTAAAAGTGAAAAAGCTGAAAAGCCTAAGAGCTTCATATCTGAGGGTAACCTGAGTGACAAAAACATTGTTAAACACTCAAGTACTTCAGGGGTTAAAAAAATTGATGTTTGCAACAAATCTCAAATGATTCAGAAAAAAATTACATATATGAATACATAGAGAGGGAAGAAGAAAGCAAAAATGGGAAAATGTTAATTAATGGTAACTCTGGATGAAGAGATTCAGTTCTTTGTACTATTCTCACAATTGTTCTGCAATAAAAAGATTTTTAGAAGTTGATAAAATAAACTTGAAAGGTAAATAAAGAGCTAAAATATCCCAAGTAAGTGGTGAATTAAGGGATTATCAATTTTTTAAATTAAATTTTGTAAATTGTCCAAGAAAATATTTTTAAAAATTACATCTCCCATAAGCTACCCTCATCATACAGTATCTATTCATACTTAACATATTCTTCGAAATATGTAAGTACTATATTTTTCATAGAATAGCTTTTACTTAAAATCATGCATTAAAATATTTGAGCACTTGCAAAGTATTCATAAATTAAATTCACTTGTGCTTTTTGTATATGAATTGAAGATACTATAATTGTTTTTAAAATAATTTACCACATTTTATTTACCTATTGCAAGGCATTAAGGATATTGTAAATAAGTACCCTTATTGCCCAACAACATAATACAACATTTCCAAATATCCTTTCCATTTAGAAAAAAAAATTTAAAGAAAAAGGATAAAAGCTCTCAATAAACTGGGTATAGAGGGAACGTACCTCAACATAATAAAGGCCACATATGACAAGCCCACAGCTAACATCATACTCAACGGTGAAAAGCTGAAAGCTTTTCCTCTAAGATCAGGAACAAGACAAGGATGCCCACTCTTGCCACTTTTATTCAACATAGTACTGGAAATCCTAGCCAGAGCAATTAGGCAAGAAAAAGAAATAAAAGGCATCAAAATCGGAAAAGAAGAAATAAAACTGTCTCTTTTTGCAGATGACATGTTATATACAGAAAACCCTAAAGACTCCACAAAAAAAATGTTAGAATAAACTAATTCAACAAAGTTGCAGGATACAAAATCAATACACAAAAACCAGTTATGTTTCTATACACTAATAATGAACTATCAGAAAAAGAAATTAAGAAAACAATCCCATTTACAATTGTGTCAAAAAGAATAAAAATACTTAGGAATAAATTTAACCAATGAGGTGAAAGATCTATACACTGAAAACTGTAAGAGATTAATAAAAGATACTGAAGAAAAAAATAAATGGAAAGATATTCTATACTCATGGACTGAAAGAATTAATATTGTTAAAATATTCATGTTACCCAAAGCAATCCACTGATCCAATGTAAACCCCATCATAATTCCAACACCATTTTTCACAAAAATAAAACAAACACTCCTAAAATTTGTATAGAAACACAAAAACCCTAGAGCAATGATATTAGATAAAATATCTAATATGCTGGAGACATCACACTTCCTGATTTCAAACTATATTACAAGGCTACCATTATCACAACAGTATGGTATTAGAATAAAACACATAGATCAATGGAACAGACTAGAAAGCTCAGAAATAAACCCACACATATATGGTCAATTAATTAAAAAGCCAAGAATACACAATGGAAAAACAATAGTATCTTCAATAAATGGTGCTGGGAAAACTGGATAGCCACATGAAAACAAATGAAACTGGACCCCTGTCTTACACCATACACACAAAGAATTCAACTCAAAATGAATAAAAGGCTTGAACATAGAACCTGAAACCGTAACACTAAACATATTTTGGTAATCATTCTGCAACATAAACATATATTGAAGTATTATACACTTAAAACCAACACAATGCTGTAGAGTAAATTATATCCCAATAAAACCGGGAAAAAATGATATTGTAAAAAAAATAAAAGTTTAATGATGTGAACAATATTGATGACATTTCATGAAATGAAAAAATTTTACAAAATAATGCTAATGCATAGTCCAAGGATTACAAAAAAGATGTATACCTATAAATAAAAGAGTAAAAAAAATTACCAAAATATTAAATAGTGGTTATCTCTGGGTTCTGGGATTATGAGTGATTTTTATGTTATTCTTTGTACTTTTTTTCTATTTTGATAATGCATATGCATTACATTGGTGTCAGTAACAGTATTGTTGAAAACAGATAGAAGGAAACATATAGCACTAAAATGAAAAAATTTCAAGTTTACAGACCTGTATTTTGACATTTGGATACCAAGAAAACCAAAAATTTTCTACCTGTGCATGTATAACCCTGTCATATCCTAATACTCCAAAACCTGTATAGTTTTATATTATTGATTTTTCCTAGTGTTCAAAATTCTGCATCATCATATCTTTGTCTGACTTACATATATAGATCATTTACAATAACAAGCAGTATGTCCTAAATTTCTAGAAAATCTCTTTGAAATCGCTATATATGGGCTAAATATTTTCATTAGGTTAACAACTGTATACATTTATTACTTTGCTATAAAATATATAATCATACACAATTTAATTATTTGTTAGGTTAATAACCCTAAGCTTCTAACATTTAGTATTATATATCCTAACATTTAGTATTATATATTCTTTGTCAAAAACAAACAGATGTACTACCACAAAACAATAATTAAAATCCATTAATGTTTTCTAGTTAATGGGTTTTTTGAGGTAATAAAAGCTTTGCACAAAGCATCATGAGACATTAAAAGAATTTCAAAGCAACAGAATATATGCCTGCCTTTAAGGATGCAAAATGTCACAATGTTATAACACAGGTAAAGAAATTTAAAAGGGCCAGTATAGAATGACATGGAACACTCGCTCAACTGCATACCCTAGGACCTACACTGTCAATCTTAGACAAGGCCAAGCGATTCATGACATCTTATTCATGCATGCATGGCACTTTAAGGAGACTGATAAAATGCTTATCGAATGAGAACCCTGAAACATTCCTCAGTTTCGCAAACCAGAGGTTAACTTATTCCATGGACTCTCATGGCTATCAAAGACAAAAATAAAACTTACCAGAAGATTAACAAAATATTGTTCCTATATATCTAAAGCATACTTATGTAAAATAACACACAAAATTTAAAAGTATTAAGAGTTTGTGAAGCAACTAATACACCTATTACACACCCTTAGTCGTGAACATACCACCACAGATTCTAGGGCTGTGGCCTACACAGCTGGCATTCTCTCCTCCGCTCTTAATCCACCACAGTACAAGTGACATTTTCCCAGGCATAAGGACACATAAACTGACATTCAGGTTTAGGGCCTTATTTGGCCGTAGGATTTGACATGCCCACTTAATTCTCTTTTTATCTAAATACTTTCTATCATATCTCCTTGGCAAATACTAGACCCCATACTCTCACAGCACTGCAACTAGCTCTGAATTCCTCCATGAGAGAAGGAGGGAAAGCTGCTGAGAAACTAGAGAAGAGTTAGGAGAAAGTACTAGGATGAGTTGTTAAAAGTTAATCCCAAAGAAAATCAGAAGGAACAGAAATCATCTAGCCTGGCAGCAAATTAAGGAGCTTCACAGATGATGACTCCCAAATGTGGGATGGGCACTTAGAAAATCTTAAGAGACTTTTTACACACATTCTATCCTTATTATACCCACTGCCTTAATTCAGGCCATCGTCATTTCACCCCTGATTTGCTACAGGCACCTCCCGTTACTGACTCTGATTTTGTCCCTTTCCAACCCAATCTGCATCACAAGCCAGTCGTCTTTCGGAAATGGAACTCCGATCACTGCCTGGCTTCAACCCTTCGACTGCTCTCTGCCGCCTTCAGGGCGGAGTCTGAACATACTACACTCAACAGCAGCGATTTCCAGCTGGCGAGCCACAAGGATGGTTAAAACATGCAAATGCCTGACTATTTAGTCAGGGGCACTGAGCTCTTTTCCCTTAGACTGTCAAATTAAAAAATGGTAACGGTCAATACAACAATAGCCATCCGGTGTGAATAAAACAAAATTACACCTAATGTTTTGTCAGATTGTCAGAAAATATACCCTTTGGTGTGCCACAGAACTTTAGTAATTAGTTAGTGTGTGCCACGAGATGAAAAAGGTTGAAAAGCGCTGCTCTATAGGTATACTTCAGAGATATTACAGGTTCAGGTCCAGACAATGGCAATAAAGCGTGTATCACAATAAAGCAAGTCACACGAACTTGTTCTCCCAGTGCATATAATAGTTCTTTTTACACTGTAGTCTATTAAGT